CACCTGCCGCAGCAGCCCTTTGCTGTGCAGCATGTTCGCGTACCCTATGAAGTTGCCGTTGCTTCTTGTGTCACCAGCCATGTCTGCGCTGACCACAACTACGCTCGCCAGATTGCTCTCTCTGTGCTTCCACTTGATGCAGTCAATGCCGCACTTTCGTATGCGGCTCACCAAGTCCTCCATCAGCGCTCGATACGGCACTACCACCACCGTCACCCCAGCGTCTGTCAAGCAAGACCTGGCAACTCCTGATTGGCCCGCACACAGGCGGCCGCGAACAGCGCTAATTCCCCCCCACTTCAATCCTGTAGCAACCAGCACGACGCCACGGCAGAGACACCATCGCCACAATCATCAATAAATCATCATACCACCTAAGATCTCGTTAAGCACATACTCTGGCTCACAGTGCGAGAATCTGACAATAGTGCCTAAAGGGCAGCGCATCCCCTACCTCTTAATAGGCCTTCCCAGAGTGCCATGGTGCCATAGAGACACACGACGTCTCTGTCAAATGGGCCCCTAGACATCTAGGCATTGAAGGAAATGAAGCGGCCAATAGCTAACCCTGAGCTTGCACACACCACGCTCAACACAGACAAGGAGTGCGTCTAGCACACGCTATGACAGCGGGATAAGTATTAAAGATCCGAGCATGTACACATAAGGCCATGACGGAGCTAGATCAAAATCGACCACGATGAGAGGTTGACTCGCCGCCAGGCTCAAAGGGGGGCGAAACAGGGGTGAAGTCGCGGTCAAGTCGGACCCTAATCGTGAGGGTCGCGTGGATGTAGGGGTCTCTTCCATGGCTCATACATGAGTAGGGTGAGGATAAAATCTTTAAGCGGTACAACCGTTGTTTTTGACTGACATCAAGGACCTCCCACTGACCATCTTCAACGTTGTGGATCCAAAGTATGGACCCAAACCTGTGCGACAGCCTTACCCCTAGCTTGAGCAGCTTCTAGATAACCTTGCATCGTAGACATATAGTACCTTACAGTGTGTTCATTGTGTGTGAAACGAAACTCAGCGCGAATCTGGTGGCAAGTCTGCATTAGATCTAGCGCTCCTCTCACGTGTAGGCTGTTCAAGCATTCTTCTCGCTCAGGGCGCAAGTGTTCCATGACGTGGATGTAAACGTTCTTACAGGTCTCTGCCTCGTCCATCAATGGGAGTTCGTGGGAGTCCGAGCGATCTCACTCACCTCCAGGTAGAATCAAGAATTGTGAGGATGATCTCTGCTTCAAGTTGCGAGGTAGGGACTTGTTGCGTTGTTTGTTTCTTGACGCGTTATGACATTCGCGGAATTTATATCCATTCAACGTCTTGTACGGACTCTATATTGGTCGTAAAAGTGGAGACAAAGCCCATTTTCGCTGAAAATGCGAGGGTTCGCTGTCATGTAGGCTCCCCCTCCACCTTACCATCCACTATGTTCACTACCCGCTACAGCAGGCTGGCTGTCTAGCCTCGCTACAATGCCGGCCCGAAATCTCCCCCTTCCCCACTCCATGATCCTGACCAAGGCTCGCACGAATTCCTCCACATCGCTTGCGCGAGTCATCCGCCATGATTTTAGCGCCTCCATGTGGAACGCCTCTTCATGTTCGAAATGGACCCACAATTCGTGCGCGGGACCCTCAGTCACAATGGAGAAGCACAGCGGCGGGGAAGTAGGATGCGAATTGGTAGTCTCTTCCAGGTCTTTTAGGATACGTAGCATAGAAGCGCCACTGATGGCGGCCTGGTTCTGCGCGCTGACGAGGTTGCCATGGACGCTTAGGCCCTTTGTTTCGACAATCAGGAAGGGAAAGCGCATACCCATGAAGGCGGCGTGTGGGTCGCTTAGGATGGTGCCGCTCTTTTGGTGGTCGACAAGGCGGCGCTGATGGAGCAGGTTTAAATCGGTCTCTTCAAGGCCGACAGTAATGTCGGGTTTAGGAGTGGAGATGTGGAAGGGGTCTGAGGCGTTGAGGCTCGTGGTTGTGGTGATGGATTGTGAGTAGGTGGAAGAGTACGTCGACGGCGGTAGGGAGGGAACGCGGCCAGGGAAGAATGTGTTTGGGCTCACGGTGGTGACGGCGGCCGTGGTGGCGGAATTGAAATCGATGAGCGTAGAGGCAGACGGTGTCGGGCCGGCTGAGAGGGTGCGTAAGCCGCTGTCGCCTTCCTCGCCAGTTTCTTGAAGCCCGTCAAGGGAAGGCGCTGCAGGCTTCAGTCCGGAAATCCAAGCCTTCTCCGACATGTCCAAGCACAAGGTGCCCGGAGCGAGTAGGGCGATGTTGCGCATGAGTGTGAAAAGGCTGCTCTTCCAGTTGCCCTCAAGCGAACACTCGCGCGCATTGAGCCGCGACTCAGCCTGGTAAGTGGCCGCCAGCGCTGCGAGGCGTGCTTGTGTCTCCGGCTGTGTCTGGGCTCGTGTGTCCGGCTCTGCTAGCTCAGCCCACGACTGCAGTCCGAGAATGCAGAGCGCCTCGCCGTCGATTGCAGGCGGGAGCTGGTCGAGGTGGTCGACATAAACTCCGGCGTAGCGCATGTTGCCGCGACGGTACGACTGCGGTGTGGGTTTCTTGCTGGGGCTAGGTGCGCGCGATATGTGAGAGCGCGCACGGACAGGGCGTTTAGCGGTGCGGCGGCCGCCGTTGTTGACGTTGAGCGTCGCACTGCGCGGAGTGGGCGGTGCTGACATGGTCTCTATCGCTGGCGGCGGCTCAGGGCTTGCGGTGCAGCTGTTAATCCAGTGCAAAATCTCCTCGTCTTGTGCGGCAGCGGTCGAGGGCGGAACTTTGGCTGCGGCGAGCGTCTGCGATGATGGATTTGATGGCGGTGGTGAGGCGCCCGCGACGTCAGCGCGCTGGATGCGGCGACACTTGGCGACGACGGTGCTATGGAGAAGGAAATGCGAGTCGTGGTTGTCGGAAAGACGCCGCTTCATGGTCGGGTGCCTATAGACATGTGGAGATAGAGATGGTGGTGGTGGTAGCTGCGTGGGCCGTGAGCAGCTACTGATGTTGACGCCGATGGTCGTGGTTGTGCAGACAACCGGGGGAACCTCGGTTTCATACTACCGTGTCCGTGCGCGCAATGCGCGGATTGCCGCAATGCGCCGAACCACCAAAACGCGAACCTACAGAATTTGTAACGGTTGAGAGGAGAAGCAGACCACATGTTGTTGGCGATGGTCTGGTGCTACTTCCTCATGTTGTTGAGCACCTCTCACCTCAGCTGCATCACAAAGACGTCATCAAAATAGACCCCGCAGCGAGCCTTGGAGAGCAAAGATACAAGCAGAGCAACAACAAAGAACAACAAGAACAACACAATACACTCGTTAACGTATCTCACGGGTATGTGACCGGCCCAGGTATGTGACTGGGTTTTGCCAAGACCACACTAATACTACAACTACTTTGCAATAACGTGGTCCACCACCGAGCGGATGACCCCACCAAGCGAATCACTCTGCCAAGACCACAACGCTTTCTACTATCAATTACAATAGCTTAACTAGTTAATCTTGAATTACTTTCCTGTGCAGATAGAGTTATACTTGCTACCTAAGCAATGAAATCTAACGCGTCACTAAGCCAGCGACGCGCTGCTGCTATCTACAAGGTTCCTCAAAGTACACTTAGCCATCAAGGCGCTAGAAGAACCCCACAACGCGATACCTACCCCAACTCATCTAAGCTTCAGAAGCATGAAGAGGAGGCAGTTATACAATATATAAGGAAGCTTGACGCTAGAGGCTTTGCCCCTACGCTTAGCCACGTACGTGGAATGGCTGACCAGCTACTAGCTAAGCGTAGTGGTGGCCAGGTTAGGGAGAACTGGGCCTATAGGCTGATCCAACGCCAGCCTGAGGTCAAATCTCAGGTGACTTAACTCTGTGATCACCAGCGAGTCCTCTGCAGTAATCTAGCTATTATCAGCCCCTAGTTTAACCTTATACGCAACGTTAAAGCTAAGTATAGTATCCTAGATTAAAACATGTACAACTTTAATAAGACTAGCTTCTAGATAGGCGTTAGGGGGTCTGTGAAGGTAGTCACAGCCTCTAAGAGGCGCCTTAAGCCACTTAGGGTTTAGCCTAGTGACAGGGAGTGGGTGACATTAACTGCTACTATTAACGCTACAGGGTAGGTTATCCTACCCTTTATTATCTTTAAAGCTAAGAACTATAACTAGGCCTAGTATTATAACCCTTAGGATTAGAGAATAGGGGTTAGTAATAATAGATAGATAATAAATAAGCTTAGGCTTGCCTAGCTACAGCACTTTATCAAGCACACAGAGGTTAAGAAAGTAGGTAGTTACAGACTACTAATTCTTGATAGCTACAAGAGCCACAAGTCACTTGCCTTCTAGGATCTTTGTGAGGAGAACAATATCATCACCCTCTATATGCCCCCTCACACCTTACACATCCTTTAGCCACTTAATGTGGGTTGCTTTGCCCCCTGTAAGGAGCTGGCCTCTGCGGGCTATTTGCAAGTATGAATCAAATGGATTTGTTGAGGAGTGGCTGCAGGCGGAGGTCTGCAGACTTTTATGTCCTCCGTGCAGAGGTTACACAACTAGTCAAGATTGGGACCTCCTGACTGGGGGTACGGCTGGGCAGGCACCTCCTCTCGGAGGTTGGCCGAGGCCGGCGAGCGCCGAGGCGCTACCATCGGGCCTAGCCCGTTACACCCCCCCACTTCAATCCTGTAGCAACCAGCACGACGTGACGGCAGAGACACCATCGCCACGATCATCAATAAATCATCATACCACCTAGATCTCGTTAAGCACATACTCTGGCTAACAGTACGAGCATCTGACACCTGTCTTATTAAAGTTGTACGTGTCATCATCCTGGATGCTATACTTGGCTTTGATATTAGCTACCAGGCCAAACTAGCCCTAGATTATCTTAGGATCCTTGCAGAGGGCTCTCTTGTAGTTATACTTGCGATTAAACTTTACTTTAAGCTCTAGTTAGCGCTTAACAAACATACTAGGCTAGTTTAGGCTAACATAGCCTAGACTGCGCTTAGCGCGCAAAGAATTGGCCATATCAGCCATAGCTGCTAGCTGAGGGGAAAATCCTTGCGCGTCTAGCTTAAGTATATAATTAACAATCACCTGCTCCTTAGTATTAGTTAGGTTCTGTAATTTAGGCATAGAATTAACTTGTGAAGGTTGTCTAGCGCGTTGGTCGCTTAGTGTCTGTAGGGGAGCTCTATAGATAGCTGCAGCGCGCTGTAGAGAGAGAGTCGCGTCTTGTTTAAGAGCTGAAGCGCAAGCTGTATCTAAGCTTCTTTTAACGCGTCTAACTAGCGTTTGTGGAGAGGCATTGGTGTAGTAAGGGTGTTTTGGTAGGGTCTTGGCAAAAGTGTCCGACTCGCCCGTGTGTCCGACTCGCCCGTGGGGTAAGTTAGTAGTATATTAATATAATAAAAGTATAGTTTATTAAGCAGAGCTACTATTGTAGCAGGATTAGGAGTTGTTGTAGCCATTGCAGCTGTTAAGACTGTTAGAGCTGTTAGCTTAAAATTAGCTAGACATTGAATGCACATTAAATAACTGTTGTAGGCCTACAAGTCCTACTGTTGCCTACAGTACAATGCCATGATTTCCTGATTTCAACAATGGAAAAACTTTTCCTGATGTAGAGCCACATTCAAAAGCTATTATTGCGAGAAAAGTGCGTTAACGTACCCCACGGGCGAGCTGATCAACGGGCGAGCTGATCACTTTTGCCAAGCCCCCACCAAACTCCCCCCCATTATGGCCCAAAACAACACAAATTGGCGCTGCATAAGGCAAAACAAGCTGTAATATTACTTAGATACCTCTTCTACCTTATTCTTGCACGTTCGCGCGTTATGTCCTGTCTGGTTGCACCATCCACAGCGTTGTTGAGATGGTTCACCCCCTTTAGCGCGCACCCGCTTCTTTAGCTTCTTCCCATCACTACACGCCCTATACTCCTTTAGAGCTGCTAGTCGCTGCCCATCTCTAACTATTAGAGTCCCCTCCTTCTAAACCTGCTTTCTTTTGTGTGATTTTCATCGCGTAGCAGCCTTATTTGCTGCCTAAAGCTCGCTAATTTCCTGTTAGGCTAAAACTAGCCTGTAGGATAAAATTGCTCCCCCCTTTACATAGTGCTCAAGCGCGCTTAGAACAGAATTAGGTAAGCTACCCTACTGCTTCTTATACTTCTCTTAAATTAGAGTTAATTAAGACCTAAATTCTAGGGTATTGCTAGGGGTTTGCGACTGCTAGGGCTTGCTATTAGTAGGGAGTAGTAGTAATAGAGTCTGCAGCTTTACATTAAGGGTTAAAATAACCTATTCTAGGTTAAAGGGGACTAATCTAGCGCCTTAGAACCCTCCTTAGATATTGCTAGAAGTAAAGACTATATTGTAGGCTGCTTTAAAGCATAGGAGGAACTTAGTCTTTGTAAGGTAGCTAATCTAGTTACGCATAAGCATTTTAGCTTAGCGCCTATACGCCTTCTTTAAAGGGGCAAAACAACCCACATTAAGTGGCTATAGGAGGTGTAATAAGTAGGGAGGCATACATATAGTAACAATATTGTTATCCTTACAGTGTTGCTAGAATTTAAGCAAGTTATGGCTCTTATAGCTATTAATAACTAGCAGTTAGTAGGTACTAACAGTACGCTCCTTTGTATGCGTGTTAAAGTGCTTTAACTACTTAAGACTAAGCTTATTAGTAGTCTAGCTGTTACTAGAGACTCTAATAACCTAATCCTAGGGTAGGTCTTCCTCCTTATACTAGCTAGAGAGGTAGTGGCGTGCCTTAAAGATAATAAAAGGCAGAATAGCCTATCCTTTTGCATTAATGCCCTGTATAACTATTGTCTACTCCTAGTTGCCTTGCTAGACTGTCTTTGGCCTTCCTTGTCTCTCTAAAGCTGTAACAACTGCTCCTAGGGAGATCTAGCCTATCATGAAGCTAGTCTTATTAAAGTTGTAGGTATTATTATCCTAGATACTATACTTAGCTTTAATGTTAGCTACTAGGCTAAACTAGCCCTGCACAACCCCTGAATCCTCGCAGAGGGCTTGCTTGTAGTTGTACTTGCAATTAAACTTTACTTTAAGCTCTAGTTAACGCTTAACAAACGTACTAGGCCAATTTACGCTAATAGGGCCTAGATTGCGCTTAGCGCGCAGAGAATTGGCCATAGCAGCCACATCTGCCAGCTGGGGGCCAAATCCTCGCGCGTCTAGCTCAAGGACATGTTCAATAATCACCTGCTCCTTGTTGTTGTCTAGCTTTTGCAAGTTGGCTATAGAATCAGCGCGTGAAGGTTGTCCTGCGCGTTGTGTGCTTAGTATACTCTAAGGCACCTTATAGATAGCTGCAGCGCGTTGCTAGGTGAGATTCGCGTCTTGTTTGAGTGCTTGAAGCGCAAGCTGTATTTAGGCTTCCCTTAACGCGTTAATATTAGGTTGTTGTTAAGGCATTGGTATGTAGAGGTTACTTTGGTGGGGGCTTGGCAAAAGTGATCAGCTCGCCCGTTGATCAGCTCGCCCGTGGGGTACGTTACAATTACTTAGTTTCTGCATCACCACACCAACAAGCTTACCACTAAACAGACCACCAGGATGGATTGTGAGCGCTTTTCAGCTGACAGCAAGCGCAAGTACAAGCTGTACTTCAATCTATTGCACTCGAAAATGCGTAAGAACAGCGTTGATAAGCGCAACACGTACAATATAGATAAGAAAGGCTTCTTTATTAGCATTAATAGTTAGACTAAAAGGATAGTCTCTAAGGCAATTTAGGAGTTAAAAAGGGGACCAAGCTAGCACCTCTAAATCCTCCCTAGATATTGCTCCTAGTAATAGAGGCATTAAAAGCTCCTTTAAAGCATAGTAAAAACACAAGTTTTGTGATGCAAGTAATCTTGTTGCGTATTAGCAGCTTAGCTTGGCAACTATAGGCCTTCTTTATTAGGGCAAAACAACCTACATCAATTAGCTACAACAGGTGCAATAAGTGTGGACGCATACACAAGGTAACAATCTTGTGTTCTTTATAGTAACGTACTCCACGGGTGAGTCGTTCATACGGGTGAATCGTTCATACTGCCAAGACCACACCAAACCTCCACCCTATTATGGCTCGCATTGGCCTACTTTGGCCTTGTATACACTGGTACAGCATGTAATATTATTCAGCAATAGCTTCTACAGGCTTTTTACACGTACGCGAGTTATGCCCTACCTTATAACACTGTTTACAGCGTCTTTAGGTTGCCTCACCTCCTTCAACACGCGCTCGCTTCCCTGCCTTCTTACTATCACCACACGCCCTAAACTTAGTTAGAGTAGTTAATTAAAGGCCTTCCTCAGCTGTTAGGACCCCTTCCTGCTGTAACTGCTTTCTTTTATGCAATTTACGTTGCGTGGAGGCCTTATTTGCTGCTTAAAGCCTAGTGATTTCCTTTTAAGCTAACACTAGCTTGTGCGCTACTATAGCTGCGCCTTTGGCGAGCTTTTTAAAGGCCTTAACTATTAAAGTTAGTGAGCTGCTTACATGCCTTTAAATCCTCTCTTGAATTAGCGTTAATTGCGACCCTATTTGCAGGGTATTGCTAGGGGTTTAGGACTACTAGGGAGCATCTTCTACAGTAGGTAATAGTAGGGTATATAGGCAGACATTAAGACCTATTATAACCTGTTCTAGCTTAAAGGGAACTAGTCTAGCGCCTTAGAAGCCTCCTTAGATATTGCTAGGAGTAAATGACTCCTTGTAGGCGCCTATAAAGCATGGCAGGAACTTAGTTTTAGTAATATGCGTGATTCTGTTGCGCATGAGATCCTTAGCTTGGCGCCAATACGCCTTCTTTAAAGGGGCAAAACAACCCACATCTAGTGGCTGCAAGAGGTGTAATAAGTGTGGAGGCATATACAGTGTGATAATGTTTGCTTCCTTACAGTATTGTTGGAAGTCTAGGGAGTTGTAGCTCTCATGGCTGTTAATAAGGAGCAGCTGGTACACTCCTTAGGTGCGTGTCTTTGTATAGGCATTAAAGTGCTTTAACTAGTTAAGACTAAGCTAGTTAGTAGTCTATCTATTCTTAGAGACTCTAATAACCTAGTTGTAGGGCAGATTGTCCTCTTTGTACCAGGCAGAGAGGTGGTTGCGGCCTTTGAAGATAATGAAGGGCGGAATAGCCCATCCTGTGCCATTGATGCCCTGTATGACTGTTGTCCACTCCTAGTTGCCCTGCTGCACTGCCTTTGGCCGTCCGCGACGCTCTGAGCCTGTAACAACTGCTCCTGTTGATATCTGGCCCATCATGAAGCCTGTCTCATCGAAGTTGTACGTGTCATCATCCTAGATGCCATACTTGGCTTTGGTATTCTCCACTAGGCGGAACCAGCCCCTAATAACCTCAGGGTCCTTACACAGGGCTCTCTTGTAGTCGTACTTGCGATTGAACTTGACTTAGAGGTCAGGGCGGCGCTTGACGAACGTATTAGGCCAGTTTATGCCAACATGGGCCATATTACGCTCAGCGCGCAAAGAATTGGCCATATCAGCTACAGCAGCCAATCGAGGGGCAAATCCTCTGGCATCCAGCTCAAGTATGTACTCAGCAATCACATCCTCCTCAGTCTGATCCATATTCCGTGATTTTGGCGTGCAATTGGCTCGTGCAGTGCGTCCTGCGTATCGATCGCGTAGCGTGTTGTAAGGCGCGTTATATATAGCTGCAGCGCGTCGCAGAGTGAGCGTCGCGTCTTGTTTAACTGCCTGAAGCGCAAGCTGTATTGCAGCTTCTTTAAAGGGCTTAGATTTGTGTTGTTGTTGAGGCATTGCGTTGTGAAGTGGAATGTTGGTGTGGTCTTGGCAGTATGAACGACTCACCCGTATGAACGACTCACCCGTGGAGTACGTTACTAGTAGAACTTAATTAAATTGTGGCTCTTATAGCTACCTAGAATAAGCAGCTAATAGCTGCCAGCAGTGCGCTCCTTTATGTGCTTATTTAAGTGCTTTAACTACTTAATACTAAGCTTGTTATTAGTCTAGCTATTCTTAGAGATAGTAATAACCTAGTTGTAAGGTAAAGACAGCTCCTTGTACTAGGTAGAGACGTAGTGCTTGCCTTAGAAGATAATAAAGGGTAGAATACTCTATCCTAACGTGTTAATACCCTAGATAATGCTAGTCTACTCTTAGTTGCCCTGCTATACTGTCTTTAGTCTTCTACAACACTCTAAGCCTGTAACAACAGCTCCTATTAATATAACACCTATTATGAACCTAGACTTATTAAAATTATAGGTGTCTTTATCTAGAATACTATACTTAGCTTTAGTATTCTCTACTAGGCAGAACTAGCCCTAGATTACCTTAGGATCCTCGCAGAGGGCTCTCTTGTAGTTGTACTTTTAATTAAACTTGACTGTAAGCTCTAGGCGACGCTTAACAAACGTGCTAGCCTAGTTCTTGCCAACAGGAGGCTAGTGGCGCTTAGTGAGTAGAGAGTTGGCTATATCCTCTATATTAGTAAGCTAGGGTGGGTATCCTTGCTTGTCTAGCTTCAGAACATGCTGCACAATCACCTCCTCTTTAGTGCTTGTTAGCTTTATTAAGTTGACCTCACAATTGCGTCTTAAGAGCGTTCTAGCATGTTGTTGTCTTAGTATTCTTTCTAACACCTTGTAGATTATTGCAGCGCGTAGAATAGTAAGAGTCGCGTCTTGTTTAAGAGCCTAGATTACAAGCTATATATCTAGTTCCTTTAAGACGCTTTAAGCCTTTTTGTGTTAAGACATCACAGGTTGTATGAAGTTTAGTGTGGTCTTGGCAAAACCCGGTCACTCGCCCGGGCCGGCCACTCGCCCGTGAGGTACGTTATAGTCTTTCTACCTTATTTAACTTATAGCTTGTAGCTGCTTAATGTTGTCCTCTTTGCGCTGCTTTTAAGGCACTACACTAAGGAGCTTACCTACTACCTCTAATATACCTAAGGCCTTACAAGGATTATAAAATCTAACTTCTATAGCAACTTTTAGCTAGCGTAGAGTGCTATAATAACCTTAGAGCTTATATTAAAGAGTTTGTAAGCTACAGGCGTGTGGCTGATAGATGTGGACGCTGTACTAAAACGCTTTAACAACAGCGGTCTGGGTCTTCGTCAAAATCGGATACCTGTGCTTCGACCTCTTTCAAAAATGTTTCTGCTACTGGATTGAGGAAGCACCGTGGCATGGACGAATGTTTGCTGCTTTGAAACGCCAGCCACAGCCGGCGAATGTACGTCTTCGCAGGTCTTGACTCTACTTTTTCTTTCTCAAAGCCCAGGAGATAATCCAAGCTAGGGTCATCTGCGAGCATACCGCGTCTCCCTTCTTCTCTCAGGGCCTTCACATAGCTGTGAAGAGTGGGCAATCTCGGCATATCAGCAGTGAGATGTTCGTTTCCTCCGTTTGGCTGTTGCCTGCAGAAGCGAAGAACTGAGAGTGCGAAGTATAGGTGCTCAGGGGTGCGTCATGAGAAGCTCGCATGCCGCTGCAGAGGGTTGACACTAATGGGTCCCTTTGCATCTCGGCGCCTTTTCCGGTACCTGTTCAGTGAAATGCCGAGATTTACCCGATTGTTTTGGTAAGCACCGGCATCAGCATGAACGCCAGCTTCGTGCATTATACGAGGCCATCTCAACATAGCTGTGCATGCTTGCGCGTGTGACAAAAGACGGAGTGGCAAGCATGCAGCAACGATTGTAACAGTGATGTAATTGGTGCAATCTTGGCGTTCCCAGGAATCGGCCAGGATGATCTTTTGACCGGCCGCCCCAGCAACGAGCCAGTAAGTACCCAAACACCAACATTCAAAGAGCGAAACAGTCTGCGATGAAACGCCAACTTTCTCCGCCAGAAACTGCCACCCTTTGCGAAAGCCGATCAATATCACAGAAACGTCGTCGCACAAACCGTTCCTCAGAAGTCTCGCAACGCTGTCCAGTTTCACACCGCGCGCCTCACACACCCAAGTCGAACGCTGTAGATAACGAAACAAAACATCAACAAGAACAACCATCGCAACGGTGCATAGTTGCACAACACGTTCGCGATTGGGTAGACGAGGTGGCTCGCAGCGGCAATATGTCAGACGGTGCAAGCGTGCGTCAGCGGCGCGCCCACAAGGCGTCCGTACGGGCGCGTTCGAGCAGTCCAACGAAGAGAAGTCCTGAATATCGAAGGATCACTATGGCGGGCGCACATGTCTACATCGATCAGATGGACCCGCCCACAGATATCGACGAGCTCTGCCGACGCATCATTGGGGATGCGTACGACAACGCTAGGGAGCTCAGCGGCGTCCCTGTCGAGCTGAAAGAACAAGTGAGAAACACCGCCAGCGACTACCTAGATCGGTGCAAGGAACTAGCGAGGGATGCCAAAGGCGAGGCTGAATGGAAGAGCGCGCTGCTCGAGGGTGTTTTTCGGCCACTCGTCAAGCTCTTTGGTCAGGATATGCTTGCGACGAGTGCATCGGACAAGCCGTGGCGAACGGAGCTGAAGCCTCGCCCACCATCACTCCGCGATCTCTTGTCCTCTACGCCTCGACTGGGCGTGACAGCTGGTATTCCAGCAACGGCACCGACCAGCTTCGATCTCACTGGACGCTTCACTTCGACAGAACCTAACGAAACTGCGACTGAGACGAGCGAGACCACTGCGGTTTCTACGATCGAGGATCCCGATCCCAGCAACCCACTGACAACTCCAAAGCCGGACATTGTTGTTGGACTCGCCCGACGTTCGTTCAGCGAAGTACACCAAGCGCTGCTCGGGGAGTGGCAAGACAAGGCAAAGCTACTGAGCGAGCCGCAACTTGTACAGCACGGTCTCCATTTCCCGTTCCTCCTGGTGGAAGCAAAAGGCTTGGCAACAAGTGGGAACATGATGGGCGCCGAGAACCAGGCTGCGGTAGGTGGAGCGTGTGCGATCAACATTCTGAGAACACTACAAAACCTGGAGCCTCACTTTCCGCTTGCGCATATTATCTTCAGTGTCTCGACCGAAGGACCACTTCATCAACTTGGCATTCATTATATCGTGGGTGGTCAGTATCATATGATGGTGCGTCGAGCTTGGAGGACAACTCTGGGTCGTGATTGTACGGAATTTGTTGTCGCGCTTGCGCGCATCATACAATGGGGTGGTGACCAGTACAGGAACGAGATCACAGCAAGCCTGCAGCGCTACGTGGGATATTTGCAAGCGTCATCCTGATATATGCTCGAGTAGACTATCGTGCGAGGACATCAGAAGTCTCTGATATTCCGTTCCGCAAGCCGTTCCCTTAGAGTTGGCACCTTCTCTTCCCATGACATTGCCCATCCAGATGGACTGGGAACTTTCCAATAGCCTGGACGCGCTCTGTACCTGAATCAGGACCAGCATTCGACAGTGCACAGTTTCAGCCGAGCAGGTCATGGGTTACAGACATGCTATGCCGCGCAATCGCAAGAGGAGGGAAGTGCAGCGCGGCAGCGGAGGTTTCGGAGTCAAGATGGCACAAAGGGGTAAGTGCAGAGGTAGTGGCGAAGTCAATCCGGGATTCGTACAAAACAGGGCAAAAAGGGTCAGTGCTTGCACTTCAACCTGTCGGTTCGCTACCATGTAGGCTGCACTCACTAAAAAACTAAGTGTTGCCTTTTGGCTTGCAGAGTTCTCATTAAATGCACTAAGATATTAATTTGGAAGAACAGTGGTGGTGTAACAGGGGTTAAGAGCTGCTGGCGCTTCTGGTGCTGTAAATGAGATGGACAACAGCATGCCTTACACTGCCGTAATTTTTGTGCTGCAAGACAGGAGTATATGGAGAGATACCTCAAAAACATTATTAAATCGACTCTGACTTTGTGGAAGGGCGGTGCTGAGGTGTAAAGCGCTATAAGCCAAAATACGTGTTGGTGCGGAGGGATGTTCGACCCGCAGGGATGGACTTTATTTTGACCACATAACCTCCACGCTGTGGACATCGTGCTGACCCTCGTGCTGCGTTGGCATGGCTCTTACCATCTGCATCTTTCCAGTGGTAAGAGCCGCCCCAGTGACGCTGAGCAATAGCGTTGGCATGTTGCTAAGCTATGCGACCTAGAGATGCTTACACATCTGCCCAAGTTATGCCCACTGTGTCAAATGGTTGAAGGAGAGCAGAATGTGGCGTTTCGCGCAACTTATGGCGACAGGCGATACAACTGCTCGATGGGGCAAGAGGGCGTCGAAATCTAGAGTCTCTTTACGCACGTCTCTGCCCTGAAGCATGCGGCTGGGCTTTTGTGCGTTGTGAAGAGGTGTAGAGTTGCTGCTCTCTAATCTGTACTAGTACAGGTACAAGACATGATTGAAATGAGTGTAGCTGCTGCTGCTGCTGCTGTATGGTCCGGAGTATGCGGCTCATAACGGCTGCGCTAAGCCTAGATAGGCCATAAGAAAGAGCTGTTTCGTGACTAGCGCGAATTGGGGCGAGCCGCCCCCAAAGTCGCGGACCAATTAGTCCAAATTAGGGACGACTCGGACCCTGATCGTGGTGGTCGCGTGGAGGTAGGGCGTGATCATGAAGTGGCGTGGGTAAGGACCCTAAAGTTGTTGTGGATATCCCGGTTGAGCTGGAAGTCATCTCTAGAGCGAGTGTGCCGCTACTACAGCACTTGTATCGTGTTGCGGTTGTCTAGCCCCAGCACCCTGGGGCTGAAGGGAATCAATGACTTCCCCATGGAGTACACATGCAACCACTCTGTCATGATATGCCTCGTACTCACTTGCTCTGCCTTCCCAAATATAGTCGTCTACATCGAACAGCATGCGTTCGTGAACACCTGGACCCCAGTCTTGTAGCGTGTCGCAGAGCGTCGAGAGAGAGAGTGACTCGAGGCGGAGACATCGCCCAATCTCCGTAAGAGTTGGCTCCCACATATTTCGATGGTTTCCCAGTCGTACAAGAGACGTGCGTGTAAGTGTGAGAAAGCGTAGCGTATCCTTGTGCGCGAGCAGAAACTTTAGCAGCGTATTCCGATCAGTCGCTATCTCCAACTCGATATTGCGGATCCGACTCCAGCGCGAGTGCAGACTAAGGTTCCAAAGTAGCATCATGGACCCTTGCGCCTGCTCTCTTTCGGTATGTCCGTACGTTGGCAGAAGAATGCCGTCAACAAGTCTTCCAATGGTCAGACGTAAGCTCTGAAGGCTCTTGGTCGTCAGAAAAAATGGGAAGACGAATTTCGCAGCAGTCTCTCTGCAACCTGCCATTTCGTCTTCGTCAGACACCCTGTAATGAAGACACGTCATGTCAGCGAACGCATGAGCCATGAGTTCCAGCTGCCTGCGGTACAGCTCGCTCTCCGTAGGCGTTACAAGGTCAGTGAAGGCCTCCGCGTCCGCTGCTGCTGAGGAAGATGTATGCAAGAGTCGATAGGGTTAATGAGGCAGCGTCAGCGCGTAAACAGCGTAAGAAAAAGCGTATACAGTACCGTGGGGTCTTAATAAAGGGAGCTGGAGAGGATCTACTTGCTCAACGTGAGGCTGATCAGCAGATTGCTCGTGAAGAGCGTCAATGAGGAGAGCAATCAGGCCGTAGCCGCCAGGCTCTCACGCGCTGCAAGAGGTGCAGAGAGACTGGCCATAACTCACGTGCGTGTAAAAAGGATATCTAGAGTACTGCTTAATTTACTCTATATTTATCTAAATATTAAGTAAGTAAGATTTCAATTTAGAGTGTTGCCTAGTTCCCTTTTAGGTCTATGAACACTATGTACTTGCTTTTGTGATCAGGGCTAACATGCTCTATTAGAGCTAAAATCCCCCACCTTGTCTGTGTCTGCTGCCTTCTGTCCTAGTCCTGTCTAGGCTGGCGGATGGGTAGGGTAGGGTAGGGTATAGGTATAGTCACGTGATTTATGGGTAGGAACTAGGTAGGGTACATGAGGTACCCTACCCAAACGGTTTGGGTAGGGTAGCACGTGACTGGGTATAGGTATAGGTAGGGTAGCACGTGACTAGGTATAGGTATAGGTAGGGTAGCTAGGTAGGGTCTAGGAATGGGTAGTTATTAGCAAAATCTAGGTTACTACTCTAGACTTTGTACTATTGTATACTTTAGAGCATAAGTATGTGATAATAGACTGTGATAATAAATTATAGATGCTTTTTCTTCTAAGTATTGTGTATGCGAAAGA